GGACGTCATCTGTCGTATTGTTACCAGTGAGACCATAAAACACCGGATCTCCTCCCATGCTGATAACAGTTGAGTATTGCCGACTATCCCTTGCCTACAATGAACGCAACGTGGTTCGTAACATCGTCGGATAGAGTTGAGGAAGTACCTCCCGAAATGGAAACCGTCTCCGTAGGCAGTAACCTTTGTGAGCTGCTCCAACTCATTTGATGGTCTGATGTAGGGCGAGTTGCGTCAGTGAAGCTGTTGATGAAACCCGGACGCCTCTCGCATAACGACAGGAGCGCTGAGCAGGATGTTTTGTAGCTCAGTTCATCCCTGATAGGAAGTATTTTGAGTGACCGCCCAACTTGGTCAGTAAATCTAGATCTCCCTCGATAGTCGAAATCAAGTGAGAATTTCAATCAGCTTAGGGCCCTTGGCCCTGTCAAGTAGCAATGCAGCTTCAGAAAACCCTGCCTGAAGAGCGGATATAAAGTAAGCAAAACTCCACCATAGCGATTCCAGGCTTAAAATAATGGGCTGCTCAGATTATAGCAACCACCGAAAACAGCCATCATACTCCGTTAGTTAAGTCCGCACCAATGGTACATTCATGAAGAACAGGCAAGTTTCCGATCCGGAAGAGGCTGCATAGCTCAAATATCCACCATACTCTGAAAGCTGGGACAGCGCAATGTTTACTGTTGACCTACACCCCCTTTCCATGATTCAGTCCATCGGAGCACTCTCTAGAGTGTAGGATCGCGAATGACGCCATCACTCGTACGTTCTACATGCGCACCCCAGGTTACCTCAGAGTAGCAGAACAACTTTTATGTTCCCTCAACATCATGAATTGGCTGCGACAAGGCTCTCTGCTATCTTCGTTTCCAATTCTTCCGCAATTTCAAAGGATTTACTTGAGATCCCATGCCATGAATTCGGAGGGCCGATTTCAGTAGGCCATCATCTCCCAACTTTCTCGATGGTGTTGGGCTGGTATCTGCTTATCCGCGACAGCGTTCGCGCCCAAGGAACCAGCTACTCACACAAGTCTGTATTTTCATAATTGTGAACAGAATAGGCAGCCGTCATTTCGCTTGTGCAGCATTTAGTTGATTTTTAGCGCTTGAACAATATTTCAACATTTACTGAGTCCGGGTTACTCATATCTTCAATAATAAGTTAAAGCCAAAATTTGATTTTGCTGTGACTTTCAAGGATTTCAATGGCCTCCCGGCATCTGTCCAAATAGTTCCTCTCCGGGCCCACGTAACCTTACTAGTAACTGTGGGTTAGATATGACCATTTTACATTGTGAGCCCTGCACCCCTCTGTCCAACCCACGTCTCAGTATTACTCCAGTATTGTTCAATCAGTGTGACAAACCGCAAAAAGTCGTGGCCTACTGTCATGAGGAGCTGTGTTCTGTCTGATTTCCCTCGAGTTTATCTCCTCCAGCTCGACAATATCTCCACTTCCTCAGATAGGACCTTTACATCCTTGTTTTAGGTGGAGAGAACATATTCTTTGAGTCAAACACAATATCTAAAGAATACAGCGTATCGCCCCTAAATGTGGTAAGCACGATTGAACTTGACACATCCATCAGTAAATGTGACGCTTCTCTTCTTATAGTGTACAGTTATCTACCCCATTGTGGTTTTTGTTTTTCTTCATAATTTGTCCGGGCTCATTTAGATGTTGTACCTGTTTGCGGGATTCGTAGAATTATCATTCGCGTCATTCTTGTTTGAACGATCCTCCTACTGTTCTGGTGCAATTATTTTGGTGTACCTGTCGGTAATCGGAGTGTGTCGGTACTGGCATCGAAAAAGAAGAGATAAGTTTAGGAAGGGCTACAAGCAGGACCGCGATCGAACAGATAAATGTAATCAATCAGTCAGCAGGACTACTCGTTAACAGAACGCACACTACATTGGCTGACTAACTTGAGCATGTCTGTGAAATATAACCTGTTTCTGAGAAACCGCCGTACGAGCAACACCTGGAGGAAGAGAATAGTTTCGACAGTTGTTTATATTATGAGGAGATTCTGGAGTTGTTCAGTCGAGATTCCTTCGTGTCATTAGCGCTATATCATGTCTAACTGCCAATCAACCACATTGCTGATCAGCCGATCGGCGCCAAGTGTTTTAAAAATAGATTTTCAACTGCTAGTTGGGAATTCGCAGCTTTCTTGATCGAAGTAGTTTTGGCGACTCTGGATTTCTCTCGCCTTTCCTCTTGATACGATTGCTCGTTCACGAAACACTCTGGAAAGAATATTTTGCAGTTCAACTTTTTGCGATGCGAATCCTCTATGCTGACAAAATCTCCGCTTAATCTACGTCTACACTCACAACACATGTGAACAGAACGTTTACTGTGCAGTATCTGTGACCCTGACCTAATTTCACTTACTAGATGAATCGAAATAGATCAAAAATAGATGAATGTACGACCAGCTATTTTCGGTGTTTAACGCAACTCACATCGTTTTCTGGATTAACAATAGGGTGGTTCTACTTTCACACTCCCCATAGAACTCCGTCTTCTGCGTCCGTGCATAGAAAAACAAAACAATCGATAGGTTGCGAATCATGTGTCGTTGGCCACTGTCAAGGCTGGTGCTTAGTTCGAAACAGAAAACATATTGAGCAATCATGCAGGCTCTTGTCCAGCAAAAGATGGTTCATTCAAGGTAATGGTCATTTCGGGGACGAGACAGCTCAGTGGTTAGAGCGCGAATTTACTGACCGGAAGGTCCGTGGTTCGAACCCTACCTTTGCCTCTCGACTTCCCGCGTCTAGGCTTGGGCAACCTGGCCGTATCCCAACCTTCGTGCTTCCTTGGCTTGGCCGTTAGGCGCCGAAAGGGTGCTACAGCTGAATGATCATCAGTGGTCTTTTCCATAAACAGAGATATACACTGTGTTGAGATCGCGCTTGGCCCCAGGGACTGTATCCCAAAATATAGTGGTCGTCGCGCTGTCCGGTTGTTCACCGCGAGCAATATAAGCGTGGCTCCCTTCAAAACGCAATCTGCTGTGGACCCAATCGGACCATATTGCAAGCGGACATCGAGGGGATTGCACCATCGAAGATTACTGTTCTTTATTTGGCACAGGGAACTTGACTAAAAACGCGATAAGTAGTTCGTGCATTTTTAGTGTTTCAGCTTTCATCATCATGCACTTTTCGCTCAGCTGTGTGCTGAGTGGAAGCCTAGATTAGGTTATATAGCGACCCATCCAAGAAGCACAAAGAACACAACCAGTAACCTAAGTCGTGTCAGCGACTGCCGCCTTTCTGCATAAGGGACCCAGAGATGGGACATGTCAACTGTTAGAGGTACTGATAGATGTGTCACAGTTGCCCAGTGATTGGTCATTACATATCCACGTTACTACCACATCCCCACGCCCATACCACATGTCTGTAACAACCCCGTCATCACTTTCGATGGAGATTCCGTCCCGTAAGTGAAGCCAATCAATGCTGAAAAGCCGAGAAGCAGTGTACAGCTGTCTTATCCTTATTTCAAATGAGTCTGTTTCTCAAATTATGTACAATTTGGGTTCAAGAACAACATAAGGTTGACGAAGACCCCAGGTGAGCCCTAAGAATGGCGGAACTGAACCCCCCAAATAGCGGCCTTCCATTTTACGGAGACTAATTCGTTACATCGTTTTCGAAGTTTGGTGACAATCGGTAGATTTATTGCTGGGCAACGTTTCGCTTTTGACACAAAAGCTTCGTCAGGCCAAGTGACTGGGTTCCGAGGTTGGTCGAGATTTAAGGCGGAAGGAGAACCAATCAGCTAAGTTAAGCAAAATCTCTGTTGGGTGTCGGCCGAGGGGTTTTAGTGTGTTACAGTGATTGAACAAATGTTGGGTCAGTGGGGAAACCTACATGTGTTTGGGTCCAGCTTAGGGTCTAGTTCTTCTGGTTCGGTTCATTTGACGGTTCCTGTTTAACTTCGTTTGAACCTTCTGTCAGTCTGTGTGGGTGAGCTAGTGCGGGATGCTGTGACCTTTGGTCGGTTGGGGTTTCCACCCCCACCCCCCGGTTTTTCCTAATGATCCTAAGTGGATTGACAACCACACCGTCACGTGTCAACTCGGCTTATCCAATTCGTTCCAGTCTCACCAATTTTGCGTTCGAATTAATGGCAAAACTTAAAGCTTTCCGCAGATCAGAAAACTTTGACCATTTTAACCCCGCTACTCCCAATAGGGTCCACTTCCTTTTTGAATTCAGACGTTCTTTAGCACGACATTTGTTGCCTGCTTAGACACGTTGCAGCATGACATTCAAACACTGATTTTGTCCCCACTGGTTAACTCGAGAAGGCCTAAACACAGTCATCAGAGTTCTGCTCTTGGTTCTAAGCACAACATCCTTTTGATGCAATAGCATGTCATCAGCATGCTGATAATCCGCGAGTCTAATTTTCATTGGGTCAAACTGGATGACAGGTCTCACGTTGGAATCGAAAAGATATCATGCTTGAAATCAAAAGTAGGTATCTATCTAGTCTTTCTCGACGTTTCGAAAACCCAGCCCCTTTGCTAAGATTTATAAATAAGCTATCGAAATCCGAACACTACTGCCTCTGCCAACCGGACCACCGACAAGACGGTGCATAGACGCATACAGAGCCAATCAGCGGCACGATTAACATCTGATCCACCGGGACTGCACGATCTGCGTTGACTCGGTCACGTTGGAGTGTCGAGAGCTTCGTAACCGTACCGAATGTTGTTTTTGGGGTCACGAAATCGGGAACCGGAGATTAGTCAACCTACGGCATGATCACCTGTGATCTGTGAAGAACCTGACCGCATAATTTTAGCTTCGTCTTCTACCCGTTTTGTGGACGTTCTTCGAAGCGCACTTGCAGTCAACAAGCTGATTGGCCCATCTTATAGGACCTCAGTTTCCAGTTTCGATCCGTTTGAGCTCACTAAATGGCTCTTACCGATCCCATCATTTTATTTTCCTAGGCGTTTCATTTCCTGTGATTGTCTAACTCAACGACAGCAGAAGGAATCGCATCACAGACGTGACTCAACACTGAAAATGAATTTTCCTTTAGATTCACGGGGAGGAATAGAAAGGTTGAAGCAACCTAGGAATAAGCATAGTTTTTGCCCTGAGCCTCGAGGATACATTTCACGGGTTCTGAATAATAGCTATTTTCGTACAAATGCTAGGTAACCTTGGAGGAGACCATCGTAAGAAAATTAGTGGCTCATACATAACTTAGTAAATTTGCGTGAATTCTCTTGAAAATTCGTTCGTTACCTTGTGGGGTACAAATCGACATAATCGAACGAGAAGCTTATACTTTGTTTCTGTCGTGGTCGGAACCGATGAGATCATGGCATCCACAGATTCTTTATTATTGTGTAAAACTCAGAGCGTCTTGGTTACTGAGCTACATCCGTCCAATGCCAGAAAAGCTGCTAGTGTACTGATTTTCAATTCGTCTTCGTAAAATAGACTAATATTCATGTTCATTTATCCACATTTTAGGCTGGAGCTGTGGACAACGAACAAACTGCTTTATCGATGCAGCAGAGGAGCCTGCTCCTAGACATTGCACGACAGTTAAGAACCGATTTGAAGCTTGATCTTTTCGGTATTGATGTGGTCGAATGTATTTGTGAGGATACTGTTCGCACATCCACCGGAGCCTGTGGGGATCCCAATGTGAATGAAAAAACAACCGTTCGCTACGCCGTGATTGATGTGAACCCTGCCCCAGGTACGTCACTGCCACCCATGCGCATCCGGGTTATTTTCTGATGCCGTATTACAGTGGATCCATCCATGAACTACACCAAGGGTAATAATTACATTACGGTGAATCTCGAAAGAGACCACCACGTGGAAAATGAACCATACAGAGAACGCTGTTCTCGACCCTCCAAGTGAAAATGCATTTATTGTATATATCTGTTGATTCGCTAATCTGTTGTATCTGGCTGCTGACCCGCTCGTGCCTAGTGCCAGAAAAAAGACTCATAGGAGGGAACACAGCAGCCATATTCTGAGCAAGCGAGTGCAAAAGTATAACGGTCTGAAGCTATTTATTGGAGGGACAGTCTAGACTTGGTCCAATGCTGACGCACTCGGTCTGGTTTTGGTACGTGGCTGCGACGCGCTGCATATTGCGGGGGGCGTCGTCTGTCTGGTCAACATCTAGCGGAGCTGAGAGTCTCGATAGATTTCGGGCATTCAGTGGTTGTTTTCAGGAAGCTGACCTTCCTGATAAGAAGGTTCATCGGGTTACTTAATCTTACATCTAGCGAACACGTGCATGTCGCTAACGCCTCAACTCAATTATCCACTAGTTCATTCTTACTTGCAGTGATAGGTTCTCTGAAAAGAGTGGTGTCTTCCAAAGGAACAGTAAAACACATTATAGAATATTTAACGCATGTAGGTGGATAATGACCATACGTAATTCAGCCTCATCTACTTTTGGGACATTCGAATACATATTAGCCAATTTACTGCAACCAGCCGGAATTCTGATACGTAACCAAGCATTTTGAATGTTGGCATTCAATGTAGTGAACCATGTCTTGTGCACGGGAGGTTTTAATTCGCCTATTTCAGCGCTGATTTGGGACCATTTTGCTTCGCGTGCGGGTTATTTAATGTCTGCTACTCAAATGAGTCTCATTTTCTACCATTTCCAGGTTATTCCGGTGTTCCGAACTTCCCCGAACATCTGGAGAATCTCATCCGAGAGAAGCTTTCACTTCCGCTGATTCCAGTTCCATCCGGAACTATGGCTTGATCTCATGCGAACGTATTATTTTTTACACCGTTGGTGGTATGGCGACGCTATTTTTACTTGGCATTACTACTTGCTATAATTTTCCGCTATACGTCTGACTTTTACGCATGGTGCCGTGGGTCGATGACAATGGGTGCTGTTGTGTGAGATGGTGTTCAGAGCGCACTGGTGCATGATGTTGCGCGTGCTGTTAGACCAGGGTGTTCCGAGAAAAACACAAGCCAGGAGAAGACTAGTCGGTTCCGAATTCGTTACGGCGACGGTTGATAACCTACATCTATGTGCCATGAGATAACCGGAAAATTCGAAGAATGACGCACCATATAGTTTACAGCGTCTTAGCGGAATCTTAAGGCATCCTGATAACAAGTCGAGGTGTCCCAGAGGGTGTTTGATCTCTGACATGAAACGCGAAGCGTTGCAGTCTTAAGGTATTTTCACCTGAAACCGAAACAGATTTTAATCGAAACATTTCGAGAAGTAGCAATTCACTTTAGCATGAAGATGCTGGGCTCCAGAAACATCCAGTTCATCGTTGATCACGATAGAAGTAACTTTTATTGAGTGTTGTATTACAATGTGACAAATATGGACAATTTAAGGTTTGAATGGGACTCCACCCGAACATCATTCCTGTTGGACAAAGGGGTTTGGGATCGCCTCCATGCCGTCTGCCGGACACACTAGTTCAACTGAGGGACCCCTGAAAACAAAAAATATTCCTGATACATCACCTGAGCAGAAGTTAATCTGAACCAGTAAATCACCAAGCATATGGAGGATCTTCTATTGTGCATGTGCTGCTTGTTAAATAAAGCGTAAATGATGAACCAAGAGCCACAAGCAGTTCAGGCAAAAAAATACCGCTCAAATTCGTTGTTGGCTGCATCAGCGGTGTAACAAGGGATGTCAATAATGTAGTTTGCAAAACGGAAGACAAGTGGTCATCCGCTAGCAAAGTAATCAAGAATCACGTTGGGAACACAATGCGGGTAGCATTCACGAGATTCGAGAGAGCGTTTCCTTTTAAAGGGAATATCTTTTTAGTAATTTCCGCCCGGTTCCGGAGAACGCAGCGGAAAGGATTTGTTTTTCATGAGATCGATGATCCTGGCATGCTTTTGTGCACAGTGCAGTGAGCTCGTACGTCAAATTCGTTCAGACGGACAATAAGAGTAAACACCGGCAGAGTACGAACTGCCGAAGTCCTTCGCCAAATTTCGTTGCTTCCGACAATGACATTATCTTCTCTGGGTTCTTCGCGCCCATCCGGATCACCGTTCCTCTATTCGTTCTCCCGCTTCCTACCGGGTGCATGCTTCAAAGGAAAATAAATCGGAATCAAGTTCCGCAAATTCTTGTCACACTTGGACTGAAATTGTTGGTGTGTCGTTCCGTCAACAAGCAGTGAATCCCCTAACCACCCAAACTGTTGATTAACTAACTGGAACCCTACAATTGTTAAAAAATAGTGAATCGTTGCGGGTTGACTTCGTTTTATGCTTTACTGATAAAACGGATTATATCATGCGCACCTAAAACATATTTGAGCACACTGTAGGAATGATGTCCGTCAGATCCCATTCACGTCGGCTCCAATGCTGAATTCAAGTAGAGTGAATTATTCCAACATCCGGTAGTTCTAGCCTGAATTCGACCATGAGAGGGGTAAGTAGCGACACATTAGAGTAGGCAGTGCAACTAAACCGAATATAAGCGGTTGCCTGAATACTGCCGACAGTCTTCGACGTCCGCAGTTATCGAAATCTCTGCGGAACGGGAAAGGAAGTTGCTCGTTGCACACTGGCTTTAAATTCAGGTACCCCATTTAATGGGCAATTTCTGTCTCTCTCTCTCAACCAAGCCTACATCTTGAAGAACTAGTCAAACCTTTTCGTTAATTGGCCAGCCAACTCAACAGCTTCCCGTCACAAAAACCTATTTATCCCACTCATCCTTTATCACCTTAGTTTTCCTTAAAACTCATTTGCAAATTACCCTGATTTTACCAAGGGACTGGACAAGTGAACATGTGTCCCCATAGATAACGCTTAGCTGCTGAGCTCCAAGAAGAACGAAACTGGTAGTGGATTATCGAGGAGTTTCTAGCAACTTCATGGGTAGTACGTAGCATGTACCTAGGATTAGTAGCGTGATTACTGATCCAGCTTGCTAGTCCATGCGTCATTTTGTTTACTAGAAGGCATGCTGACAGCCAAGCATCCATGAGGGAAATTCTGAAATCCAACGAATAGTACTTCATTACTGATGTGTACGGTCCTGTTTTACATTTTTAAAACGCGTTATTCAAGTCACAAAATTTACACCTTACTGCATATGCTATATACTGCTGTAGTGGTCTCAAGGACAGCACCCGTGTTAACTTATATCCGAAATATTGGACATGGTTTCGGCTGACAACGTGCAAGCGACCGTTTGTAGTGCAAATTCGCCAGTAAATTGTGATACGCCATTCGAAGTAAATGGAAATACAAAAGCTCCTGTTTTGGGCGGAGTACAGTTCGCACCAGAGGGCGCTAGTGTTGCTGGGTGAAGATGCTACAAAGCTGCCAAAGCAAACAAAGCGAGTCCAACTACAGAAAATCTGTCAGGCTCAGATTGGATGGTATGTCTATATAAACCTACCTGCAGACGACAAGACCAAGTTCTCTAGTGTCATCGCTGAGTCTATGTGGGTCATCTGGGTCACGAAGGAATTCTGTGGTGCAGTCAAGCACCATATTTTGTAGGTTATCACATCCCTTCAGTATTCCAGTTGCTTCTCGACCACCGGAGAATTTCACGCGTATTTTCTTATCCAGATACTTGTTCAAATCGATGATCGACTCCTTCCGTCGCTTCTCTGTCGTTTTGTCCCCTGTAGACATGACGTTTTATCGCTGAAAACAAAAAAAACATGGGTACAGTTCCCTAGACACCAAGTTTAGACTTGACGAGTCGAGTAGGGGTGCGAACTGCTCTTGGGTATGATAGGGTCTATAATAAATGACGTCATATTGCAGCTAGTGTATTTCTATACACATTTGGGAACGAAACTTATCTGGTGGTCACCTCGCTGCATTCGAATGGTCGACATACGCATTACAGAAAACACCCAGACCAAGCTTCCAGTAAAGATCGGGAGGCCTGCAATGCGCCCAGCTCCAAACCCAGGAAACTCCATACTAAAATTCGGTGTTTAACGTCGCTCATACAATAATCTGTCTTACGTTTTGTGCAGCCTTCCTGGAGCGACTAGTGGTTTGGCGGCATCGGAGCAATTTCGCACTTTGCAGCAGATTCCGTCACTTAAATTCCGGGAGTACACACACGCGACGCGACAATTTTGAGCATCTTCAGTACAGGTGAACGGTAATCAGACTACCAGCGTTCACTACCTTCATCTAACCACAGAATTTAAACCAGTCTATGCCTAAATCTGTCGGCAGAAAAAAAATTGAAATCGTTCAGCTGTAGCACCCATTCGGTGCCACACGAAAGAGACACGAGGGCTGGGATACTGCCAGGTCGCCCAAGCCTAGACAGGGGAAGTCGAGTGGCAGAGGTCGGGTTCGAACCACGGACCTTCCGGTCAGCACACTCGCACTCTAACCACTTGGTCCATCTCGCCCCCAATTTGTCGGCAACGTGTATGTTAATTTATTTGACTACCCACTGATCTGAACCCAAGCAATTCAGAGTTTCCACTTCCTGCTGGATTCTCGCCTTTGTGTTTAGTGTGCATATGCGAGATTTTACATAAACTTTGGTTGGGTTCCGTCGTCCAGAAGGCCTTCGCGTTTCGCTGTGGGAGAGAAATCACGTCAACAGACAAGATATACTGAAGTGATACATTTCATCTGTGCATCGATATTGCCTATTAGTGTATCGATGCGGACAGTGCTGACGTTTAGCGTCAATAATGTAGTTGTCATGCTTCTGAACCTACAGAAGCGTCGACGTAACGTTGGAAACAAAAAGAATCCCCCGAAATTAGCCTAACTCGATCGTTCTCTGCTTATTGGAGGCGCTCATTCAGAAATCACAAAGCATTTCCATTTTCAATCAACGTTTGGGTTCGTTCTACAGTTCCCCCTTAATATCGGGTATAGAGACACAATGTACAAATTCGTGATTTGTGCAGTCGAACCTTCAGCTACACAATTAAAGTCATGATAATTTCATGTCACAAGTGAACTCTAGCACAGCACAGTGCAAAATACACAGATATGCCCAGAGACAGTTTAAGCAAGCACTGAGCTGATTCAGGCAAACACACTATTCATGAGAACCACGAGGATTTTGTTGGAATAGGTCGTGTTGAGAAAAAAATGTACAAAGTCAGAGGAAATTATGGAAAATTTTATCCGCGCTGGCGAGTGGTTAGGTGTGAAGTGTATTGGTATTCACGGTTAAAATGATTTCGGAAGGACGTCAAAAAGCTATTGACAGGGAACGAGCTGTTTATGTGTACAGATCACATCTGTCCGTTCATTCCCAAACAATCGCCTTGTTGGTTCGTTCACACGAAACGATTGACACTCCGCTAGGATTCCAGTGAGTGCAAACCACGGTATTTCTGAGGGTGAGAAAATGAAAAAAGGGACATTAAATCAGAGTTGACTACTTCCTGATGCTTAGGCGCTTGCTGCATTAAATCAGAACAGACTCTTAGGATACTTATCAGCAAGAACGCCATGAAAGTAATCCGTGTAGTGCCAATATTCCAGGGAGCTGGTTCAATGGCCTATTCACAGGCATCTTTTGTATCTGGTAGAAACACGATGAACGTCCATAGCGTAACAAACAAAGGACTACCAAACTACGACCCGTGAGACGGGTTTGGCCCATCGTATTTCGCCTCACTTGACATTTGATTTTATATTTACTAGAGTTTTGCACTTCGGGACACTGGAACTTGGTTTCGAATCTCGTCAGATAAGTTGTAAGACAGCCTACTTACTGATCACAGCAGCTTCCGAGTTAACTACATTCAGACACGTATATGTGAGGGCTTGACGTACACGCAACTGTGTCGAGTACACTTATCATGTTGGCGCATTAAAACTCCATTAAGTGGCTGTTGCTGGAGGCGTTTGGTTTAGATTACCTTGAGATCTGTGCATGAATTCCTGCGTCTCCACATTAAAGGTTTCAAACAGCTTTGAAGTTTGCCATCAAGAGAGTAATTAGAAGGAATGGCATAAATTGAGCAAGTTGAATTCCATACTGTATGTGAAATCTATCTATTTAGAATAGCCTAAAAGCACTACACGACTGTTCCACCCCTGCTGAGAATTATCGGCAGTCTGCATTTGATAAAGCACTGATGAGATTTCAGACCACGACCCTCCGGAATGGTAGTGTTCAACTACTAACCGGAATGCGGCGTGTTCGAATCTCACAAGAGATTTCTAAAATGCGCAATGCCAAGGATTCCAAAATAGGGGGAAAATTTGTGCAATCCATCCGGCATTTTCAGTAGTATAGGACTATTATTCAAAATCAGTAGACGGCCCACTATTGGCTTTTCTGTTCTGTGCTCATCAGGTTGGCGTAGTCTCCAGCTTCAGCAATTTTATCATGCATATGAGCTTAACGTGAAGAAAGAGTGACCTTACTTGCAGGGTGAAGAAAGCCAGTCTACAGGGTGTCATATAGTTTAGCTTCGTATACATTATTCATCATTAGAATTTAGACCGTATACCGATCATTCCCAATAAAACTCCGTGTACTGAGGACATCAGCACAAAACCACGCGGCGTGCATGCTTGAAAATGAATACTGTTTGCACTGGAACTGAACAAAAAAATACCTCGAACAACAGGTTACATCCAACTACCAGACTTCTCAAATTTATCTAACCTATCTATCAAATTTATCTATTATCAATAAGGCGGTAATAATTTACATAGGGACTACATCCAGGGACAACCCGTTTAAAATTGCATAGCTTCACCACCATGGTTCCTTAAAATGCCTTTCTTGTTCTTAGCGTTATGGACACTCCTTACAGGTACCCCATCGTCATGTTTAATACGTTCGCTTGGCTGATGATGTTTCACCAGCAATGGAGGTGGCAGTTTCAGTGTTGCTGTGTGGCGTGGCGATCACGTCTGCTCCTACATGTACTACTAGTTATAACCGACTCTCGATTGTGGTTGGTCAGTTAAACGGTGTTGTGACTAGTCGACTGCTAAGCTCTATCCTCCTTGGTTTGCATTCAGCGATCGGCATAAATCTGACCCTGGTCTGACCAGGTTTAACTCCGTGATCTCTGCTTTACCAGTCCGACAGCCGACCGCATCTGGGTGATCTGAAGATGTTCTGCTCCCACACACGACACTAGTTAGTTTTGAGGAAAACACTTCTGGTAATGCAATTTCCCGAAAAGCGCCCCAATATCTTGAATGTCATTCCAAATGGAATATGTGGCCGCCTCAGTGCAGCACAGTAAGTTGAAGAATACTACAAATGAGGGATTCCGCTGAGTCTCCTGTTAGGATCGTCTTATTCTGCAAAGCAGTTTCACATACGTCCAACTTATGTTCAGAAACGAGATAATTTGCCAATCACACTTTGATATTCCGATTTTGTCCTCTTTTGTATGTGTTTTTGTTGAAAGTTCCACGATATTATAGTGAACTCACAAGATCGCATAAAAAAGTTTGCAAAGCCTTTCACCCTATTAATATTACGTAGTTATCAACCAAGAATTCTTACGAATGGCCTTGGAGACAATCCTCCAGTTGACCGTCCCGAGTGTTCCATATAAACAGACCCCCATTCTGACTGCCGGCGACTGCGTATTGCGCGTCAGGGGAGAATGATGGTCGTACGATATCGAGACCGACTTGAAAGCCTTCAGCTGTGAGGCGCTGCACAACTCGTTTCATTCGCAAGTTTACTATCTCGAGTGTGTTCTGTCGGGTGCAAGCAAGCACCTGGCTAAAATCTAAAAAGTATTGTGCAGGGGGGAGATAGGGGGATGAGAAGTCGCAAGTTACGGTAAAAAAAATGACTAAGACAGGAAATGCGCCATGAAAGCTGTCATGGAAAATAGGAAATGCATTAACTACTATTTTGCACGCTTGCCTGGACGAGTTGAGAATAAGTATTTCATAACTCAGCAAGTGATTCGTTGCGCGCCGAAGCAGCGCGGTGCATCCGTAAATGCGCCAAGTTCAGCAAATAAATCAAAAGTACGAAATTTGGAAGTTGTCCATCGAGATTTCATCCTCCAAGGGAAGCTGTCCAGTGCCAGATATCTGGGCAGCAATGTACAACCGTTTCGTTCTTAGTGAGATAATCAGTAGTGTGCATTCCATGAATTTCCAGGGAGATTTGAACCCAGTCGGCCACGAACGGCTGATCAGCAGTGTGATTATCTCGTAAATAGACAGGACATTGCGGCACTTATCCTTCAGTCACGGAATCTAATTCACATGATCACGTGTTCGCTGACTACTTCAGTGACTTCTCAGATGGAAGGTTCACTGGGCGTGTAAATTATTCTTCCGGCTGAGCAAATTGCATATCTTTGATGGTCTTTAACTACCAGCCGAGAGACTGAAAGTTCGATTCTCTCTGGAGACTCGTGAGCTTCGCGCTGTTAGTAAATCCCAATCAGGATGCAACTGTACAGTGCTTCTCAGCTTTTCGGCATTGACTGGCTTCATACACAGGGCGAAATCTCGACTGAACCTCTACCAACGCTGCCTGAGCGACGAACATTCTCTCGAGTAAGACAGAATTAATCTACTATTACCGGTGATCGACCACATATGTCTTAACACAAAAAACCCGCAAATGATGTACACCCACTAGGCTGATCTGATAGGTGCCCAGTTGACAAGAGAAAGTCACCAGAGAATGGTGGGTATTTAGTTTAAAAACCGTGTGATGTAATTCATAAACGAACATGGTCACCGCTGGTTATCCTGTTTCGGCATGAAGTGACTTTCTGAGGCCCAGTGACTACTCGAACTTTTAAGAGTTTGTCATTATTTCTACAAATATAAGCGTTCAAGCAGGTTACCAAGATGGCGCTGACAGCCAATTTGAAGGCAGGTATAGGGGGTAGAACGTACACTGTCAAAATCGTATTCCACGACCTTATCCATTTGGGGCCTAAGTGCACGTCTCATCCAGCTGCCGGCTGCCGCTTATGAAGCTTCACTTGATTTGAACGACCAACGCATACAAACAGGACAGAACGCATGTGGTTCACGAAATAGTGCAAGGGCCATTCAGCTTTTTTGGATTAGTTCCGTTCAACTATCCGAATCTTAACACATCCTTCAAGTCTGTTCAGTGAATTTATAGACACTTTTCATTTGATATGCACAAAACTGGTATAACTCTGAAGAAATATCAAGCTCTGTCGAGGTCAGTCCAAACCAAGGACATTGCAGGGTGCACGATGCCACATCGTAAGTGTCACTTTTGTATATCTCTTAGCAAACTGTACATCAGTTTGGTTTGCTTACCGATGTTACCAAAGAGTCTACTTCAGCTGTGTACAGGTCCTATAACTAAGCGGACGTTTGTGCAGAACAGTATATATGGTAACTCAGACCACATCTAAGTGTTTCTTGATACTTTATTTCTTTTGGACTAGGCAGTATAGCTGAAATCGGGTACAACGTATGCGTACGATCGTTCTGCTCTGCTTTGCTATGATGCACCGTTTCGGTCTTTCTGACAGAAGGCAAACAGTTCCGTAGGACAACAGATAGAGGAATCTTCCAGAAGTTATAGCAGAAGTTAAACAAACCATGTGAATTGTATTCAGCCACATACTGACTTTCATTCGCCGGGTCACCTCAATTAGGTTGTATAATTGTCTAGCGACCAGAATGAGGTGAACTAATGACATTCTCAATCATTCGGGATTTGGTTGTTTTGTTTCTACCTGAGTGTGTCTGGGGCGAGAAAAGGATTTCTGAGAGGCCAACTCGCGAAAACTGGTTTGGTTTTTTCTTCTGGAAAGCTCTGTTTACATTGTGGACCATGGGAATCTTTCATCAAGAGAGCCTTAAACGGCTGTGTCTGAAATCACAGATCGATTGGTTTTTACGGCTTTCAGCCGTGAGTAAAATCTAGCAATATTGAAAAAAGCGATACATTTTTCCGGGGTTTCGCAAACGGATGTGAACAGTTCCGCCAAAAATTGCAATACCACGAACATCGGGACTGCGTAGAAAGGATTGCCCGTTTGAAGACAGACTAAATTGCCGTAAACCGGTGAGTTGGCATTTCAGGTGAGTTTTCGCGCCCGGCCTTCAGGTACAAAAATGTGGGGCAACAAAATATTCGAAATTACGGCACTGTGGTCCACACTAGCTGAACTTATGACCCACCCTACCACTCCGGGCCTTCATGCGTCAAGGGTTAGATCCAGGGATTTTCGCACTACGCTCAACAAAAATGGAGAAACTTTGGGGTCCGCAGTAACGTGAGAAACGGGCCACCGTAAAGGCGTCAAAAATGGCTGAGAAAAACTTGTTCAGCTAGCTTCCATAGCCTCAATAAATAAGGCGACGTGATGAGATAATTTACGCCGGTGGGCAGTACGAGCGACAACGCCCGGATTATTAACTAATGAGAGATGCACAACTGGTAGACGCCGAATTGACATTTACAGGACACTGTCACTGGAAACAAATTAATAAATCAGCACAAAGAGTGGTCGGAGGAGTGTCGGACAACTTCAAAAGCAGTGAACATCTTGGGCTAAAATCAGCCCTTTAGTAGGGCGTACATGGGCCTGATCTAATGAAAAACTGACAAAATTATAATTAAAGCAGACAAATCTCAATCCTCCAACCAATGACAGCACTGTTCCATTGTTAACAGTGAACTGAAAGAAAATTCTTCTCAGTTTGTCTAGAGGAAGGTAGTTGATGAAGCTATAAGGCTAGAAAGATCACGTCATTCCATATGTCTGTACCACCTACATTACTTATTTTTAATGTGGATTACTCTAGATTACGTGAGTTTCCGTCCAAAACACGCACTGCCGGTCCTTTCTTTTATATCTGTGTTAAATAAGTAGTATCGTAGAAAATGACTTCTCCAGTGACTACTTATGTTTGTGTCGACCATTCAGTAACGAACTTTTGATTTCGAAAAAGTGACCAAAACAACGCGGACAGGTTACTGCGGCATAGTTTTGAGCGGTGGCCCAATTTCTAACAGTTCCAAACTAGACAGAAAAAAGAAGGAACAGCACTGACAGAGCAGTCAGTAAACTGCAGCCGCTGGCTGCACGCTGTCTGGAGGGTATGTTTCGCCGACCAGCATGATTACTTTGTAACAGGGACAACATGAGATGCCATACCTGAGGAAATATCTAACCCCGTGACGCGGGAAGATAAAGCTATGGTATCTGTGTTTGTCCCACTGCGTTCATCCCAGATCCGCAAGTTGTGATCATAATGCCCGGTGATTACGGCACCGAACGCTGTGCATGCGACCACATCCTGTGAGGCCGAAGCGGACATAATTGTCCGTTGACAGTGGCACCTATCGACATCCCACAGCTACAGTAAGGGAAGAACAAAAGTAGGGAAAATAAACAGTGATGAGCGTGAGAATGGATATTTTGCTAAACAAAACTATATACTTTCATTTGCAAATCAATTTGGTTTTCATGGGTGACTCAATTGAATCTCTCGTTTATGATGTCCTCCAGTTGGGTTCAAGTAGACCAAAGGTTGACGGAAACTCCGGGACTGCGCCTACCTGATGAGGCCCAAGAAGGGCGAAACAGGTCGTGGGCTGTCGAAGAGTTTTCAGTAACCTTGTAAGTAGTTTCCTTTATGAAAACTATATAGTTAATAAAGCCAAATATTTCGCAGAAAGGTTTAAGAGGCAATTGATGCATTTATCGCTGGACCCCTTTTTGCTTTTGAATAAAAAACTCCGTCAGGTAAACTTACCAGGTCACAAGGTTGGTCGATTTTTATAGCAGACGGAGATCAATGAGCAAGACTTCTAATTTTTAGCAGACCTAATCAGTTTGAAGTATTAGCTTCGAGTTACTTTTGGTATCGATTAGCGGGGTGAGTAAGGCAAATAGGCTAGGGAAGACAGGCAGGTTACTGGAGTCTTGCTCTTTTGATTCATATCGTTTGGGTTTGCGATTCCTCTTGAGTCTCGTACACGATATTTGGTGAAGCGTCAGTGTCAACGGTAGTATAAGCGGACGAGTTAGTGTTAAGACAAGTGGATTAGCGGAAACGAGTTACGTGAGATTTTCAGGTTGGGCTGCCTAGTTTTTTAATAGGACACTCGCGGCTGATAATTGCACACCACTATATGTCGACTCATATGATCTAAATCTACTATCCACAAGCTCTCTGGCTCCAAGACTTTCGTTCAAGTTAAACTGAGATGCACAGCTATTTTCACCGCCTCTGTCAATAGTTACCATGATGTGGAACGCAGTGCCCGCCTCAGAACTGCCACATCCTCTACATCTGCTGTGTTCTGTGTCCGATTCGTGACCCATCCAGCCTTTGACCAGTGCCTGATATTCGCTTGCATGTTCCTGCAGGTTTTCCGTTGTGTATTCCTACTCACCAACTTTGGTGTAGAGTTCTCCGGTTGTTTCCCTCATAAAGACCTTGATACAGTTGTCGTATCTGATGCTACGTACGCAGTCTCAATTCTCTTCAACCAGGAGGGCATCCTTCAAATGCACCACACATGAGCGCAACATTTTACCTTGCTCTAATGTTGGCTGTGTTCAGTATTGGGTTGTGAAAGTCAACCACTTTATTGTTTGGCTACGTTCGAATACAGGGGATGCGACAGTTTGTCGACTTATCAATATTTCATCATTAGATGATTTGGTCTGTCGTTCTAATCTTCATTTCATTAGAAATATGAGGATGATCAATCGAAAAGCCTACGGATGAAGAATGACAAAGGAATGACAAACAACGGCGAACTGTTTCATGAACATGAGAATCACAGAGCATCAGCTTCAAATGGTGCGGGTTCACGGAAAGATCAGGCACTCAGATCTCTGACCGCATCCCATGTTTATTGCCCAATTTGAGATCCTTATATTTCCAGCTGGACCAAAGGAAAAAACAACGTGAAATACAAAAAAAACATATTTGCTATTGAAATGAAAATGTCTGAGTTAGGATCCTTTCGGATGTCATGTAAAATTAGCGGTTGTTCACACCTCTTCCCCAGAATGAAACACCGATCAGGTCCCCTATTGGGAGGATCATTGTAATTCATAGTAATTCGCATTCATGCGCAGCTGTCTGCCTAAAGCTGCGGCCAACCGCACAGGTATTGAGAAACCTAGATGAATATGTAAAAACTAGGTTTAATTTAATCATACACACATATAAAGGATATTCTGCATTTCGCCAGTCCGTGAAGCCCAGTAAATATTACTACAGAATAGTATAGAGCGTCCTACAAACCTAGTATTTTGGTATAACTCGGGTTCAGTTGTGACAGACGCACTCTGTTCTGTGTGACTTTGATAAAAAATTCAAACGTAATCACATACTTGGACTGATGTTCGACACTATATATAT